TTTCCCTACCCTCCACCCACACATGTGGTTAGCATAAATCATTCTACAGAACCAGCATTTCCTCACCCCACATCCACAGAGTTCATCCACAGTCCGAAATTTCTTACCTTTAATGTGCTATTCAAAGTTCGGATTTTGTGGAGCTTCTCATTTATGGATGGATTTTTGCACCGCTTGACAAAGGACTTTCTCAACTCCTTTTTGGTTGAAGGTCGCCGGTCCCCAAGAGGAGATAGACTAGCTTGCTCTAACGATTTGTAGAGCTTCTCCATTTCATCATCTTCAGACACTTTTGTCTCTTCTATTTAAATAAATAAAAAACAATAAACCCAGTTAATCAAGGGCAGAACATTTGACATGGTCCTAAAACAAGGCCCTCCGGATACCTTGGTCTTAGACTTCCAGCCTCCAAAACTGTGAGACATAAATTTTTATTGTCTAAGTTATGCTCAGTTGGTGGTACTTTGTCATAACAGGGCCGTGTTCCCTTTGAAGGCTGTAGGGAAGGATCTGTTCCTGGCCTCTCTTCCAGCTTCTGGTGGTTCCTTGGCTTGTGGCAGCATAACTCTAATCTTCACATGGTGTTTTACAGTGTGCATGTCTTTGTGTCCAAATTTCCCCCTTTTATAGACACCAGTCATATGGATTAGGGGCTCACCCTATTGACCTCTTAACTAATTACACCTGCAAAAAATAACCATTTCCTAATAAGGTCACATTCTGAGGTCTCAGTGGTTACCACTTCAGCACAGGAACTTTGGAAGGACACAATTGAACCCATAATAGTACACCCTCTAACCTCCCAAAATTTATGTCCCTCTCACATGCAAAATACATTCACTCGTCCCAACATCTCCAAAAGTCTTAACCCATTCAAAAATCAACTCTAAGTCTCAAATCTCACCCAAATATCATCTAAATCAGAGATTGGTGGGACTCAGGGAATGATTCATCCTGGGACAAAGTTCCTCTCCACCTATAAACCTGTGAAACCAAATAAGTTCTCTGTTTCTAAAATACAATGGTGGGACAGGATAACCTTACAAACCAGTACACACTCTAAAGCTTAAGAACCATTGTCCCAGATCACTTTTTAATGTCCTTCCTAGAACTGTTCTGTGAATGAAGGAATCCACCTGTGATCTGTGGCTTTCAGCAGATAATAATAATTCCTCATGCCACACACCTCCATTCTCTTTGTTAACCACACCTTGCCAGCATCAGCTCAAATGCTTCCAGGAAAGTGACTCCGCCCAGGATCCGGAACGACCCCGGATGTGCTAGGCTAAGCCAGTGGCAGTTCCATCATGCTAGCCACAGTCATTCATCCAGGGATGAGCACGTGTCTCAGATCAGGCCCACTGGGGCCAAAGAGACTCAATTCTGAGACTTTGCTTTGGGGTATCAGGGAATCAATTTCTTTTTCCTAAACTGACTGGTGTGATGATGTAACCTGGAAGATTTCAGAAATCATGCCAAGAATCATGAGAATGGAGCCAATCCATAGGATCCAACTGACACATGGATTTTGGTGATACCATTAGTGCCCTCTTAGCTTATGGGAGCCAGTACATTGCCTTTGTTTAGATATTCTGAGTGTCGTTTTCAAGCATATGCAGCTGAAAGAGTCTCAAATGATATAGAAAGTTACTCAAAGAAAACCATCTCTTGATGCTGCTTTGATTTCTTACTAAGAACTTCAGTCCTTTATTCACTTCAGTCTGAAAATAATGTTGGGAAAGATAGACAATAAGATTGTTTTCTACCATGTACTCCCTAGTGTCTATGCATTTTAGCTCCCATTCTGAGAACAAGCTTGATAGAGGATCATATAGGAAGTATGGCCTTAGAAGAACTGGAAAAAAGGTCTCACCAAAGAGAAAAGCATACAACAGTAGTCTAGGAGCATCAAAATTAAGCACACTCACTTACTTTACAGTGTACTCTTATAAGATTAAGTGTCTTTAGGCAATAGTTTTCCCCTTCTACTACCAGAAAGTCCACAGGTGTGCCCAATACTCTTTCATAAAATGAAGAGCAAAGATGTTGGGCTAACTTTGCAACTAAATTAAAGTATTGGTCAGTAAACTTCTTAGTTCACTACCACAATATTATCAAACAAGGAGAAAATATTCAAAACTACATTGGAACACAATTAGACTTTTTGGCTCAGCCTGTGCAGACATCAAAAGTAGGTTTTTGTCAATAAGCACGTGAAAAGATGCTCAATATCAACAGTCATTAGAGAAATGCAAGTCAAAACCACCATGAGATACTATTTCACACTCACCAGGATGGCTAAAATGTAAAAGGCACAATAAGAAGTGTGGACAAGGATGTGGAGAAACTGGAACCCTTAAAGTTGCTGGTGGGAATATAAAACGGACCCACCACTTTAGGAAACCATTTGGTAGTTCCTCAAAATGCTAAATGTAGCATTTTAAGTTACCATATGACCCACCAATTCCATTTCTAGTTATATACTCAAGAAAATTAAAAACATGTTAACACAAAACTTGTGCATGAATGTCATGAATGATATAGATATAGGCGAACAGCCTAAATGCTCGTCAACTGATGAGTGGGGTAACAGATTGTGGTACACGCGTGCAATGGAGTATTAGTCATTAAAAGAAACAAAGTACTGACACATACTAAACCATGGATGAACCTTGAAAACTTCTTTGAAGTAAAAAAAGCCAGTCACAAAAGACACATACTGTATCGTCCATTTATAATGAAATGTCCAGAATAAACAAATCCATGGAGACAGAAAGTAGATTAGTGGTTGCCTGGGGCTGAGGAAGGGACAAGTAGGAATGGGGAGTGACTGCTAATATGTATGGGGTTTTTCCTGTGTGTGGTGCTAAAATGTCCTCAAATTAGATTCTGGAGCTAGTCGCACAACTCTATGAATATACTAAAAGCCACTGAACTGTATGTTTTTATGTGTGAATTTTATGGTATGTGAAGCATATGTCAATAGAGCTATTAAAAAGTAGACTTTTATAAGATTATCATGATAACTGATGACACTTGCATAGGAGAAATACTAAGCATGGCAAGAGTCCCGGAGTTAAGCTGGAGACATTAGAAAGTCTTAAGAAATCTAAATGAAAAGACATCTGACTCTTAGAGCGGAACATTAGCATTGGGGACTCTGGGAGTTTTCAGTCCCACAAGAACACAATAATTGTACACATCTTTTTTTTTACAGATAGGCAGGTGGGGACTCTACCTCAAATAAAGCCTGAATACATAGCTTTTAATACCACAGTATTTTTAAAGTAATATATATTTAACAAACCTCAAGAAACAAACCAAACAAGTATACAACAAAGAAGATAAACAGAATGACTTCTTTACTTTCTCCGTGTTCACCAAGCTGCTCAGTTGTGCTGCTAAAGACTGTGATAGAAAATAAAAATACTTTTGACTAACACATTAATTTGTAATTATTTCAGAGTAAAATGATTATATTAAGATCTTATATCTAATTCAACAATATTAAATCAGTAAAGATGAAAATAAACTTTAGAATCTTGAAATAACATGGCAAAAAGTACATTCCCTAAATGAAAAATAAAGAGGACCGCCTCTTTGGATAATTTTATTATTATTTAATATATTTATATCAATATATATTACCTTTAAGTTAAAAAATATCAGAGATTATCACCCTTCCACACACATATTCCTGTCCCTATTTGCCTTTTTTGTATCATAATCTGAGAGATATACAACATATTGCTAGATACTCATGGGAAAGACCTGTGATCTAACCTCATCCATGACCTAAATGGGGATTTTATACTGTTTTACTGTTACTAATGGCTGGTGCCTAGGTCTTCACAGGACAATAAAATGAACATCCAGTAATAATGGAAGCAGATGATAAATAGGATCATAGGACAAAGAAAAAGACCCAAAGGGTACAAGCACACAAGAAAACACAGCTTGCACCTGACCCCAAAGCCGAGGTGAACCGAGTCCTCCCTAACGGTTGTATGGAAGACTAGCGCTGGCTGGCTAATCCTACAGGGCTATCCCTGTACCTTTCAAAGGCTTCTCAATAGAGTAATATTTTCAAAATCTCCATTTCACCTTTTTTATGTAAATATTTTTCTAAATTCTAATATCATATTAGGAAACACTACATTGTTCCCTTATCTTACCAGATTATAAAAAAGAGCCAAAAAAGAAAAAGATTGGCAGAAAAGACCACTGGTCTCTCTCCCTCTGGAAACAGAAGCCAAGTTAATTATTTCTATCTCCCTTGTCTTCTGTGGCAAAATGAAAGACTTCTGTCTGACAATCAAGTGTTTTCAACGCAACTGTTATCCTTCCTCTCAAGTGCATATTTTAGTCTTCTTACATAAAATAACAGGACTTTAATTTCCTTCACCACATAAGGCATCACGCCTCACAAGTTCTTTGCCAAGGAAGATGAAAACTATTTTTATTTTATAGATGAGAAAAAATGTGGAGATTCTTGGAAAACAGTAAGTGATCTTTCCAAAACGTAAATCAGTGTGGAATGAGGAATAAGAGTTTGATTCCACACTGTGCGGGCCCATGCACTTCTGGACCAGTCTTCTCCAACTTTAATAAGCAAACAACCACCTAGGGATCTTGGTAAAATACAGTTTCTGATTCATTCAGTCTGGGATGCCGGGCACTGAGATGCTAAAATTTTAAGGAGCTCCTAGGTGATGTCAGAAGTGCTGGTCCATGGACATACTCTGAGTAGCAAGGCTAGACTGCTTCCCAGCAATTAGTCATGCAGAAACAGCCTCAGCTCACCAGAAGAGAAAAGGACTGAAATTACAGCTAGAAAGTTGAGACTTGCCCAGAAAGCAGCTTCTATTTTCTCTGTGCCATATCATAGTTTTTTAAAAAAATCTGGCTTGCTCAAGGGAGGGTTCCAGAATCCCTGCTCTAAAGCATCAGTATCTCAATATTGTTGAGTTGGTAGGAATTTGAGGTAAATGTTAGTGACCCTTTACTTCTGTTAGACTGGCTCAGAATGTCTGCAGGGGTCAGTCTAGAAAACGTTCTCCAAACTTAGGTCAACAATCTAATGATTTAGACTCAATAAAGGGATGATATATTTTTAAGAAGATCTTTCTTGTTGACATTAGCAAAAGACAAAACACGGAAGATTCAGAAGGAGGGGAAGATATGAGGGGCACTTCCGGCCAAGAGCAGTGGGGCAAGAGAAAGAAGTTACCCCAATACAATTTCACAAGCAGAAAATGATGGTTTGGAGCAGATAAACGCCCTTACCTTTCCAAGATGGTG